ATTTGGTCAGTTTTGCCTTTTCTGTACAAGTTGTTCTGGGAGTACATGCGTCTTTAAAATCAGAAAATAGATCTGTGTATATGTATTTGCGTCTACCAGTCTATTTTCTATCTTCTTTGTTTACCTCTTGAAAGAATCTTACAGCTGGAAATATGAACAAATCAGTCAATGGGAATTTTCAACACCAAAAATCACTATTTTTACACAATAACAAAAACGCTGCTCAATTTCTTTCATATTTCGCATATCACTCTACACGATGATTGGTAAAGAATACGCAAGGGAAATAACGATGACAAAGCAACTAGTTTCTATTATACCACTGGCATTTGAGCTCCCATTAACCTTGAAACTAATGTTGATATTGTTCTCTCAAATAATACTCATTTTAACTTTAGCTTTTGCCTAAATCATCCTTTTTTTACTGTTTACCTTTTTTCTTCTTTTTTTCTTTTCTTTACAACTTCAAAACGTCCATCAACTTCAAAACGTCTATGTCTGAAAGAAAAGTAGAATTTTACTGCTATTGTGTCTATTGATACTGTTTTCGAAAAAAAAGGAAAATAGGAGTTGCAGATAAAAATAAGAATTGTTTTTTCTAGTATTACACAAGTTGATAAAAGGAATGGCTGTCACTAATAATGTAATTGAAAGGCTAATATCAGTGAAAATAATCACGGTGATAGTAAAATGATGGTGTTGATTTGTCCTAATGATAATAGATGTTATCACTGATATATGAATGAATGCAATAGTTATTTGTAATAAGAGTGATAATGGCGATGATCACTGTTATTATCATGATTATCATTTACATTATTATCTTTTATAAATATATGTACTGCCATTACAGTTATTACCATGGTTATTATTACTAATTAAAAAATCAACAATAGAAAAACTGCTTTGTAATTGTGTAAACAAAAACAGCAAAATCTATCGATAAGAACAATCATGCTGATGTTATTAATGATAATGATAATAACAACAATAATAATGAAATTAATGATTATAGCAATGATAATGATAGTAACAATAATAATAACGATAATGACATTGATGATGATGGTTATGCTGACGATGCTGATAATAATGTAAAAATAGTAATGATAATGATAATGATAATAATTAATAATAATAATAATGATAATAATAATAATAATAATAATAATAATAATAATAATAATAATAATAATAATAATAACAATAATGATAATAATAACAATAATGATAATAATGACAATAATAATAATAATAATAATAATAATAATAATAATAATAATAATAATAATAATAATAATAATATTATTATTATTATTATTATTATTATTTTCATTATTATCATTGTTATTATCTTTATTGATAATAATAATAACAACAGTAATAATTATAATAACAATAATGGTGATAATAATAACAATGATAATGATAGCTATAATAATAATAAAGATAATGATAGCGATAATAATAATAATGGTAATAAAAAAAACAAAAACAGACACACGAGTAAAATAATAGTTGCGGAGGATTTTACAAGTTAGATGTTTGTTCACGAAGATAATCTGTAAAGGAATGAGTCATTATGATTAAATCTAACTTATTGATGATTATCTACTGGCTGGTACTTGGACAAATGGCCATATGATTATTTCCATGTATGGTACATTAATTGTGCAAATTTGTTTCTTTATTAAGCGGAACATCAAATTACGTGAGATGGATTTAATGACTATGCATAGACATGCCACGTTAAAATAAATCAAATGAGTATCTGATTTCAGTGAAATAGGATGCAATGAAATCTTGAATACACCAAGCATCGTATATTGTTACTCGTGTATTTCATTGATCATTCGCTATGTATTGCGTCTGGATATATTTTAATGGAAAGATACATTATGTTTTATTAATTATTCTCTGTTGTAATTTGAGTTATTACTGTCCACGAGAACTTTGGTCCGTGGCAAAAAAAATATGTAGCAAGTTTTCGCTTATAATTGTGACATATTCTTCAAGTATATATTTATACATAAGCTTCCCCGAATGAAAATTTCCAAATTAAATGTTAGATTTCCCTCCATAATAATAATAATAATAATAAAAACACTTCTAATCACGTAAAATTACATTGACTGAAGCCCACTAGCAACGTAGCACTTTCCGCTAAGGACGAGCGACAGGGACGTGTTTGTTTACATGGCGGAGCGAGGCTGGCGAGGCTCCGGGAAAAGTAAATTCTTCGTGATTCAGTATGAGTTAGTTGACAGCTGATTCTAAGAATGGGAAACTGTTAAGGAACGTGAAAAGTACCTGATAACTATAAGAGGCACTCGGTAGTAATGGTGATAGTAAAGGTTTTGACGTACAAAGACAAAGGCAATTGTTTTCATGGTTCCTTTGCTTATCTTTATCAGGAAGGAGATAATGATAGAATGGGCGGATATTTGACCGTCTCTTCAAGGCAGGACCTATTATCTCTAGAGAAGAACAGGGCTTAAAAGTTCTTGAAAATTTATTTAGCAGTTGTCCGTGTGCTCGAAGTGGCGGTGTCATAGGTGAGGAAATAGATGATTTGTTTATGTATGTGTGATTCTTAATATACAGACAGACATTCTCAGGTATATGTGTAGTAAAGGAGTAATATAGCTTGCATTTCACCATTCACATTTGAAGCTCGGCCAATCATTAGATATTTATGTTTTATGTATTTTATTGTATTATTTTATTTATTTATTTATTTTTAATCAACATTGACACACTTTTGACTTTGCAGGCAGATGCAACATAGAACTTAAAGAATGGAGGACCACTGGACAGCAATTGTAGTAACCTGTTCTACTGCTATAATAAGGGAAGGCCTGGAGAAAGGTTGGTTTTTAAGCAACTGTGAGGGTGCATGTTTCATTCAGAGAACAGTTTCGATTATTAAATATATTCATTGATGTATTGAAGGATACCAGTTTTCTCTTGCTGTCTGGGTAAAATTTAAAATTGTAACCTAGCATTAAATAGTTCAGAAGAATAATTGAAATAATTGAGATTTAACCCAAATCTGATGGGTATGACAGGTACATACATGCTATGCCCACTGTGTGTTTCCTTGATTAATGGTTTTTACACATAAATGGTTACACTTGCACTAAGTCACCAGTAAGCCAGTTAGGGCTATGGCCTGTCTTGCCTGTTTATCCTTTTATTTAATTTTCAGATGTATTTTACATTATCTTATATTGCTGTTACTAATATCTATAATAAAAATAACACCATCACTATTCATAGTAATTCAAGAAAATCAGGTAAGGCCACGAGGTCTAATTGACTCTTTTGTGGCTAAGCACTTAAAGAGCCGTCTATGTGCAGAGACATTTCACCAAAAAAAAGAGCTCCTTTCTGGCAACATTGAGTTAATATAGTATTTCATAATTTTACTGAAGATATCCCCTAATTTCCAGAATGCAACCGTCTAGCAAAGGTGGGGATGTTACCCAGCCATGAACTCCTCATGGTTGTGGATGACCCGCAGTGGGAGAAGATATCCGAGGAAGGAAGTGCAAGTAAAACATGTCGGTTAGAGCAAGGAGTTGGTAGTGGTGGAGCGACCATCAATGCACTCCTTGTGGCAGTGGAGAGGCTGTCAGCTAAGAGAAATCACACTACGGTACTTCGGCTTCCTGGAACATTTTACTTTTTTGTTTATAGTATTTGCCAATTACTCCCCCCCCCCCCACACACACACAAATATATCATGTATTTTGAGTTACAATTTGTGTACACTCGAATATGTTATTTTTACAAGAAATTTCTCTTAATAATGATTATTTATTTTCTAAAATTGAATTTGCTATGTTTGTGTCTCTGTGCATTAATATGTATGTAATTATGAATTCATACATGTGTGGACATATGACACAAAAATTGGTAAATATTTTGGAGGTATTTTTGTAATTGCCACTGGACATACTGTGTAGACCTAGAAGTCTCTACCACCTGTATTTAGAAAATTAAGCATATTCTCTCTTGGGATTTATTGTCAGATAAGAAATCAATCCAAACTATATGCTGTAGAAGTTTGTTGGCCTCTGCTTGTGTGTGAAACATGGAGGCTGCAGTGATCACTTGATTCTGCAATATTTTTGTGTTCAGAGTGTTCGACATCCATAACAGAGCATATCATAGTTCAAGTAGACTTTGATGCAGACTAATTGCAAGAAAGAAGCCCTATTTTGAGAGCCACTGCAGGCTGCGAAAAATCCAACGTCCGCACGTCTTTGACGAGTGTAAACTTGTGGAGGACAAGTAAAATGTTTACCTTGCTTGTCCGCATGGACGAGTAAAAATTTCCAGTAGATTTTCCCCTAAAATTAATGAAATCTAGCAAGGTCTAGTTCCTTTCAGTTCTATGATTATGGAGGCTGCCATATTTGTTCATATTAGTTTCATATATTAGTTATTTATATTAGTTTCATATATCACAGTTGATAAATTTCTTTATAATATATATATATATAATATTTCGTACAAGTGGTATTCAGAAGAGGACGAGTGGAAAGTCAGGTGTACTTGTCCTCCTGGACAAGTGAAAAAAAAAAAAGATTTTTCGCAGCCTGCACTGTGTCAGTTGTCTTCTGAATATATATAAAATAATTTTGTATTGTTGAACAGATTGTTAAATTTCCCCTAGTCATACCTTCACCACCAGATGCATCCGAGAAATGCTGATTTCACATGTTTTTTTTTTTTCTTCAGTATCTGATGATGTTGCCTTTCATATCAATTTGTCAGTTTCCTTGAGTCCACTACCATTTAATTCATAGAAACACTCTTTGAAAGTTATTCCTCTGGGTAGCTACTTCTTCTCTTAATTTTCTTTACATTGAAGAATGGTGTTCAGAAACTTGAAATAGATTTGGTCTTATTTGATTATTCTTGGGAATTATTAAATCATTGTTATCTAAAAAAAAAAAATCATATCCCATACAGTATATATGAGTAAATGAGCTTTTCAGAGTATTATTTCTTAAGGAGAAATATTTTGCTATACTTTCTGAAAGCTTTCAGTGAGTTTATATCAATATAGTATTATGATTATAATAACCCAATACATACCTACAGATCAGCAGTGAATTAGTTTACAACAGCCGCATTTTGGTGGTTCACCATGGCCGAAACTTGGCACACTCCCCAGGTGGCTCTCCCTTCTTGTATGTTCCTCCTGACTTAGCCTGTGTCTCTGAGAGTGCCATGGCAACACCCCCAACACTGCTTCAGCATGTTATTTGGATGGCAACAAAAGTAAGTTTCTTTGATTTGTGTGTGTGTGTGTGTATGTGTGTATGTGTGTATGTGTGTATGTGTGTATGTGTGTATGTGTGTATGTGTGTATGTGTGTATGTGTGTATGTGTGTATGTGTGTATGTGTGTGTGTGTGTGTGTGTGTGTGTGTGTGTGTGTGTGTGTGTGTGTGTGTGTGTGTGTGTGTGTGTGTGTGTGTGTGTGTGTGTGTGTGTGTGTGTGTGCGTGTGTGTGTGTGTGTACATATATATATATATATATATATATATATATATATATATATATATATATATATATATATATGTATATATATATATACATATATATATGTATATATATATATACATATATATATGTATATATATATATATACATATACATACATATACACATGTGTATATGTGTATATATATGTATATATATACATATATATATATGTATGTATGTATTTATGTATGTATATGTATATGTCTTATTTGATTTTGCCTTATTGATGATAACGGTATGGTTGAAGAGAAGAAAAATGCCAAAAGTGTCAACAGGAAAAAAATGTATATATATATATACATATATATATACTTATATATGTATATGTACATATACATATGCATATGTATATGCATATACATATACATATAAATATACATAAAAAAAAAGAAAAATATCCATCCATCCATCCATCCATCCATCTATATATACATACATACATACATACATACATACATACATACATACATACATACATACATACATACATACATACATACATATATATATATACATATATACATATATACATATATACATATATACATATATACATACACACATACACACATACATACATATACACACACACACACACACACACACACACACACACACACACACACACACACACACACACACACACACACACACACACACACATACACACACACACACACACACACACACACACACACACACACACACACACACACACACACACACACACACACACACACACACACACACACACAAATTTGAGTATGTGGTTATGATACTGCATTTTAGTTCACAGAAAGAATGAGAGTTCTTTTGAGACTCTGAGTCCACTTTCTAAATTTCTGCTCAGATTGAATTAATTTTGTATCCCAGAAAAGTTTATTGAAACATTACCATTCAAGGTTACAGTTTTCTGTTTCCGGTTCAGAAAAAATAGTAAACATTAGTTTCCATAAATGATAGCCTGCCTTTAGATAAGATGATATGAGTTCTAGCCCTTACTTACAGGTCGGAAGGAAGAGCAACACAGGAGTTTGGGTGACCTCACTTGATGCATTCATTCCAAATTCACCACAAGTTGAGGCTCCTGATACTGATGGTGTTAATGGTGCTGTTGTATGCACCATCAAGACACCCTTACAACAAGCGACTCACCATGGCACTGTCATTACTGATGAAAGAAAGAATATTTTAAGGATGGAGTACAAAATGCCATGGGACAGAATGAGTAAGAGATATGTTGATGTTTGTATTGAGACTTTTTATTTAAGTTTTTATGTTAATTTAATAGTATAGTCAAGTATATTTTCTACATATAAGATACATTTTATTAACCTAAAACCGACAGGCATGGCATGTACATCTACACAGAAAACTATCATTAGAAAATTATGCTAAACATTCTGACACAAACAACAAAACTTTTTGAAATATAGTTGTTAATGCTAGGAAACTGTATGGACCCCTGATTTTCCAACTACTTTTGGTAAACCACAAATTAAGAGACTGTAAATTTGCTGGTGGTTTATAATATGGTATAATACTTTGTCACTAATGAATTAGCTTTCTTATACATTTTTTATAATACGAGAGAAGACATGCTCGTTATTGCCAGACAGGTGCCACTAACACACTTTATTGTTATTAGATTATGTAATAACTATTGACATATTTCATTAAGATCAAAACAAGGAAAATAAGATACTGGTAATATATTCAAGTTTAATATTTTGTGTTACTACCCCCTGCTGCCAAAACAGAGTTTAAGTGTCGAAACATATGACGCCACAAACTCAGCTGTCAATGCACACCTTCCTCACTTCACAGATGTGCTTATGCTTGCAAGCCATTATTCACAACTGCGACACGATTACAAGTGTGGTCTTGATGTGTGAATTTTGACATAGTTGCCCACACGTTTTCAATTGGCTTGAGATCAGGAGATCTGGGTGGATATGAGAGAAGTTGGGATGTTCATGAAGCCAATCTTGGACAACACCGCTGGTATGTATGGGGCTGTTGTCCTGAATAAGTAGAAGGTGTCTGTTTCAGGAAACACCTTAGCCCTTTCTGTTGGCAGGAAAACCCCCTCAAGGATTTCTACATATCTGATGCCAGTAAATGACCCAGGGCCACATCTGTCACCTCCCAACACCACTTCTTAAATTTGATATATAATAACACTGCATTAGATACATAAATAGACATATATGAAAATGTTTTAGCATTCATTTCTATTAAAACAAACATCTTTCTTCAAAATATCGAGCGAATTGAAGTTGAAAATAGGAGGGGACGGGGTGGTGTTGTTACCTACGTGGTGTTTTGTTGACACCATATATATATATATATATATATATATATATATATATATATATCGCAGTGTTGGTGCCTTCAGAAAAAAAGTTTTCTCATTGCACATTACTATTGTATCCTAGAAGCCTGTGGCTTGTCTGCATATTGCAAGACATATATCATCCTTTTTGGGAATAAGATCATCATGTCATACTGAATCCTACATAGAAATTCCGGAACAACTATTCAATACATTATGAACCAGAGCGAGACCAATTCGAATCCAAAATACCAACCATTCTGTAACACAAGGTTCTGTTCGTTATTGAATGTTTTAACACCCCTCCTAACAATAGTTTTTTGTGTAGCTATACATACATGCCATGCCCACTTTGAGTTTTCTTTAGTAATTATTTTTATACATGGATGGCTCCACGTGCACTAAGTCACCATTGATCCAATTATAAGTACTACTTGTTTGAACTGTTTACCCTTTTCCTTGATTTTTGAAAATATATAATGTTATCTTATATTGCCAGTACTAATGTCAATAACATTATAGTAATTATAATGTCTATTATAAAAATTACAGCATCGATATTCCTATCATTAGTAAAGATATATTTTTTTCCTGCAAATTCAAGGAAAGGTGAAATCAGGTAAGGTTACAAGGTCTACTAATTGACTCCTTTGTGGCTAAGCACTAGCAGAGCCATTTATGTGCAGAAACATTTCTCAAAAAGTTCTAAAATGAATTCAGCATTTTCCCAGCAACATTGAGTTAATGTTTTTCACCATCACTTTTTACATGATCAGAATTTAAACTAGAATGGAATTGAATAAATTAGTATCTTAGAAATTACATTCTTGTATATATTACCACAAAATGTGTGTTGTAATAGTTAGTGATGAATGTTTTTCATACTTCCCATGTACAAAAAGTATTTTATTACTACATGGAAATATGTCTGATGAAAATTAAAGACACACATAGAAGATTCACAGGACTAACTATTAGGTTTCTCCAGATTGAATATGAATTGGATTTTTCAGTGATGGTATATATTTCATCCCATTCATATGATTTTGTTACAGAGGAAGTATTTACTAAGGATGAAGCACCTGTCATCTCAGGCCTTGTGTTTCTTAGTGCATCTTTGACAGAGCAGTTGCTGGGGTTACACACACTCCCTCCTCTTGATAGATGCACATACTATGGAACAGATAGTGGAATTCCACCATTACAGGTATGTATATATGTATATCAGTGAGGATTTTGATGTGGTGTTTTGCAAGTATCAGATTTCAGTGCAGAGTGCAATAGTATTCTCAAAAGTGCAAGATTATTGCTCTATGATAAAAGCAAGTTGGTGAATGAGTATTTTGAATTACTAGAACATAAAATACAGTACAGTTTATCTTTTATCACTGAGAAGATGGGAAATATTTCCACAGCATTTATAGCATTTTTGTATGGAATTGCTTTCAGGTTTCATTATACTTTGACTTGTTACTGCCATTATGTAGTGGTGTGGAGGAGGAAGAGTACCTGTCAGGTCGGTGTGGAGCCGTGTACGCTCAGGTTGCCAAGTATAATATCACAGCAGTACAGGAGTTACACACTGCCAGGTTGGTCCTACAATTTTGTGAATTAAGTTATGACATTCAGCATTATATCACAAGAGCTGTTATTTACTTTTTCATGTATTTATACTTCAGATATCCCAAAATGTCACTACTTTTTCTTTTTCTACAGGCTCCAGATATGGAAACAATTGCAAGGATTGAAGGCAGAGTTCCATTCTCTAGAAGGCACCAGACATCATTATTTGGCATCGCATTTAACATATGAATCGATTATATTGCCATTACTTTCTTCAAGTTGTATGGGCAGTAGACAAGAACCAACTAGTGGTGCAGTGAAAACAATCAATGCTTACATTGAGGGAAGTGTGAAATCAACAGGCAAAGATCTTTTCATTGTGGACTCGTGGATTGGCAAAGATGTTGCTTTAGAGTTTTCTGGCTTGAGTACTGTGTCTGGCTTCCAACTGTCAGGTGCAAAATTACAGCTTCAACTTGCTGGTGACTGTGTGTGGCAGATGCATCATACAAGTATACAAGATGTTATAACTTGTTATGGAATTAAAGACCAGTTAAGCCTGCATTACCAAGAGAAGGAAGCAAGCATATTCAACACAGATTGGCCAGTATTCATGGAAAGGACAGGATTAAGTCCAGACATACTGTGGCCAAACCAGGCCAGTCACACCCAAACATTCTTGACAGCTAAGTTGTTTTCAAATAATATTTCAAAAGAGGAACAAATTCAGAATTTGGCCATCCTGGTAAGAACACTTACAAATGATGTATCCATGAATGAATGGAAATCTAGGGTTGAAAAATGGAAAGCAAGCTCCAGGTTTTCGCTTCTTGATGCTATAGAAAGCAACATAATGCATAAACTCATCCAGCAACATGAGGATATTTATCTTAAAATTGCTGAACAAATTATAGAAGCCACGTCAAGTGAATTAGGTGGAAAATCTCTCCTTCCTATGTTTGAGTATGTAGCAGCAAGTAAGTATTTTATTGTTCATGTAGTTTGGTATTATTTGTCTGGAAGATATCATGCAATTAAATTTAAACAGTTTTTGATGTGACCCCTTTTGCCACATTTGTACTTGATATCATATTGATTTCATTATGTCTGACTATTACTTATAATTCTTCATTGAATTAATTTTTCAGTTATACATAGATACAGTGATGTTCCCAAAGTTAAATTAATATAAACTATATTTTTATTAATGAAAATTATTAAAACAACTATCTGTGTTTTTCATAGGAGGACAGACTTCAGTTAACAAGATCATGATGGTACTGCATCAGCAACTGAGTCATGAGCGTCCTACTACTCCACGACTGCTAGCCAACATTGCAGATCTTTTAGGATGCATGGCTGCTGGTGATGGAGGGTTGAGAAGTGGGCCTGCTGCTAACCCTCAGTGGAGGAATGCCCTTCAGCAGCTGAAAGTATGTGTGAGCCCTTTTAGCATGCTGTAATTTTATTATTAATGATACATATCGTGTAACCCACTGACATCACAAAATTATCAGAGTATACTTGCCACTATGCTGGTGTTAACGTTAAGGCCGCCAGTATGAGATACAAGTTAAAATATGGAAACAATATTTTCTCCCCCATGTCTTTGGTTGTGGACTAACCCAATATTGTTTTTCTGGGAAATCATAAAAAAGGAAGGATTATTTTTTCTCTCGAGGACTATCTCCAGTCTGAACCATAGAACTTCACATTTTTTATGTGTGCAGAACAGAGCAGCCTCTATTGTTAGGCTTTGCATGGATGCCCTCCAGCATCATTGGGCTAAACTAGCTACAACTATTATAGTTTCATCCCTAATACTATTGTTATTGTTTTAAGATCTTATCACAGGTAACATAGACAGTGATATGCAAATATTTCAAGATATGTAGCAAGCCTAATGGGTGATATGCACTAGTGTTTATTATGTTTAGAGAATAAACTTTTAATCATTGGTGAACTAAAATGTGCTTCTCTTCCTCTCCTTTATTGTTAACCCCTTGCCGACGGGCACGGCATGTACGTACATGCCATGCCCATTGTGAGTTTACTTCTTTAATTGTTTTTACACATAGATGGCTACACTTGTACTAAATCACCAATGAGCCAGTTACAAGTACCGCCTGTTTCGCCCGTTCACCCCTTTCATCGATTTGCGAAAATATTTAATGTTATCTTATTTTGCTGTTACAAATGTTTATAACATTTTAGTAATTATAATGTCTAATAATAAAAATAACACCATCTATATTTATAGCACAAGTAAAAATATGTTTTTTTGCGCCAATTCAAGGAAAGGTGAACTCCTTCATGGCTAAGCACAAACAGAGCCATCTAGTAACAGGGGCATTTCACAAAAAATATAAAAAATGAGCACAGAATTTCCCCCACTTTTTAATTAATTTTTCAGTTATACATAGATACAGTGATGTTCCCAAAGTTAAATTAATATAAACTATATTTTTATTAATGAAAATTATTAAAACAACTCTTTGTGTTTTTCATAGGAGGACAGACTTCAGTTAACAAGATCATGATGGTACTGCATCAGCAACTGAGTCATGAGCGTCCTACTACTCCACGACTGCTAGCCAACATTGCAGATCTTTTAGGATGCATGGCTGCTGGTGATGGAGGGTTGAGAAGTGGGCCTGCTGCTAACCCTCAGTGGAGGAATGCCCTTCAGCAGCTGAAAGTATGTGTGAGCCCTTTTAGCATGCTGTAATTTTATTATTAATGATACATATCTTGTAACCCACTGACATCACAAAATTATCAGAGTATACTTGCCACTATGCTGGTGTTAACGTTAAGGCCGCCAGTATGAGATACAAGTTAAAATATGGAAACAATATTTTCTCCCCCATGTCTTTGGTTGTGGACTAACCCAATATTGTTTTTCTGGGAAATCATAAAAAAGGAAGGATTATTTTTTCTCTCGAGGACTATCTCCATCTGAACCATAGAACTTCACATTTTTTATGTGTGCAGAACAGAGCAGCCTCTATTGTTAGGCTTTGCATGGATGCCCTCCAGCATCATTGGGCTAAACTAGCTACAACTATTATAGTTTCATCCCTAATACTATTGTTATTGTTTTAAGATCTTATCACAGGTAACATAGACAGTGATATGCAAATATTTCAAGATATGTAGCAAGCCTAATGGGTGATATGCACTAGTGTTTATTATGTTTAGAGAATAAACTTTTAATCATTGGTGAACTAAAATGTGCTTCTCTTCCTCTCCTTTATTGTTAACCCCTTGCCGACGGGCACGGCATGTACGTACATGCCATGCCCATCCCATTGTGTGTTTACTTCTTTAATTGTTTTTACACATAGATGGCTACACTTGTACTAAATCACCAATGAGCCAGTTACAAGTACCGCCTGTTTCGCCCGTTCACCCCTTTCATCGATTTGCGAAAATATTTAATGTTATCTTATTTTGCTGTTACAAATGTTTATAACATTTTAGTAATTATAATGTCTAATAATAAAAATAACACCATCTATATTTATAGCACAAGTAAAAATATGTTTTTTTGCGCCAATTCAAGGAAAGGTGAACTCCTTCATGGCTAAGCACAAACAGAGCCATCTAGTAACAGGGGCATTTCACAAAAAATATAAAAAATGAGCACAGAATTTCCCCCACTTTTTAATTAATTTTCCCCGTCGGGAAAGGGTTAAGAAGGTAATATAAGGTCTACTTGGTTCTAGGAATTTTATGTGAGATGCTCATCTTTCATTTGAAAATGAACTCCTGACACAGAGAAAGTGAAAATATTAGGCTATATTGCAGGACGGGGGAATATTAAAGTATTATTAATTCATTCAAGCTAGTTACTAATGAAATGTTAGATCTAAGATGAAATAATTTTCATTGAAAGTTGTTTATGCCAATGAAATGTATACTAGCAGAGTTGTATATTAGATCATGCCTGTCTAACTATATGGTCATACTAATATTTCTACATATTATAGATATTGAAGAATTTGAGACATTCTCATTTGTGCAGTCAGGGAACCAGAGCAGAGCAATGGAATTGATGTTTGACACCTGCAAATTGTGGATGCAATCAGGTCATCCTGAAGACTTAATTAGAGCTGCTCGACATTATGAACGAGCTTCACAGATTGTCATTAGTCACTTGGTAAGTTGAAAATGTGATGAAACGTGTTTTAGTTACCGTACACCATTTTGCTTTCATTTTCATACAGTATTTGGTAAGGCTGCCCACTATACAAATATACATTTATTTTAGGGTGGAGTTTAATGAAAAGTGAAATACAAAAAATCATGGAATTTTAAGCGCTATTCTATACAATTTCTTAAACTTCATAATTATTTACAGGGTTTTGCAGACGAACCCTTTCTTAAATACTCTGAATTTGCAGGTGGAGACAGCAGAGATGCATGTATCACCAATGTGGGTAGCACAGGAGTTTCGTCGGCAAGTCCCTATTGGTGTGTGGGTAGAGGCACTTTCCCCTGCTAGGATTGACCTGGCTGGAGGCTGGACAGATACACCACCCATTTGCTATGAGCAAGGGGGTGCTGTGCTCAACATTGCTATCAAGGTGAAGGGATACTAATATGTATTTTTAACCCATTCCCGCCGGGTGTCATGTATACGTGACATGCCCACTGTGAGTTTACTTGTTTAATTGATTTTACACATAGATGGCGACACTTGTTGTGAGGACTGCCTGTCTCACCCGTTTACTCTTTTCTTTAATTTACGAAAATATTTTACGCTATCTTATTTTGCTGTTACTAATGTTTATAACATTATAGTAATTATAATATTTATAATAAAAATAACTATCGATATTCATAGCACTAGTAAAAATATATTTTCCCGCCAATTCAAGTAAAGGTGAAATCAGGTAAGGCAGAGCCATCTAGTGTAGAGATATTTCACAAAGAAATATAAAAAATGAGCACATCATTTTCCCCATTTTTTGTTCATTTTTACCCAGCGTGAATGGGTTAATGTGTATTGATATAAGATTTTTTTTTATTTTTTATCTACTTACAGAAAGAGAGTTGAAAATGTCATATCTGATTGTATCTTATATAGACAACTAACTTTATAAAACATTTGGTAGATTAACAAGAAGAAACCAATTGGTGCCCGTGTCCGGTTCATACCCGAACCCCACATTGTGTGTGTTCTCCGTGACTGGTCAGGTGGTGATGTACGCTTGACTTGGAGCCAGTTAGAGCAACTTGGTGATTATGATAACCCTGTGGCTCCAGGTGCTCTTGTAAAAGTTGTCCTGCTCTACTGCCGTTTGGTGGATCTTCATAGTGAGGATACTTTGATGTCACAGTTGACTGAACGGTAAATATTTTCTGGACATTCCCAGTGACTACAATGTGTTTATAAAAACCATTGTTTTAGTTCCATTTTGATTAATATTATGAGAGTAGAAGTGCCTTAACTTTATTCAAGTATGTCTTGGCAGATGTGACATCAAAAATGTTCTTTCAGAATTTTGAAGGGTTCAGTAAAGGCTGTCAGTTTTATTTTATGTTATTACCATGTTATTTTACTTGTTGATTTAGCTATGAGATTTATTACATTTCTGTGCTAAAGTGTGAATATAGCTTACATAAGTTTTTTCCTTTTTCATTTTAATGGTAAGACATTCAAATTACTTGTACACCAGAGATAGTCCTAACATGCTCATGTTATATCCCTTTTATAGTGAGTTTTAATGTGAAACCTTATTGGGTCCAGAACTGTGGACTTAATTCCTCCTTATACCCTTACATGTTAAGCTAGCCAAACTTAACCCATTCGTGCCGGGTGTCACGTATACGGGACATGCCCACTGTGAGTTTACTTGTTTGATTGTTTTTACTCATAGATGGCTACACTTGTACTTGTACTGCCTGTCTCTCCCGTTTACCCTTTTCTTTAATTATGAAATTATTTTATAAAAAATGAGCACAGCATTTTCCCCATTTTTTGTTCATTTTTACCCGGCGTGAATGGGTTAATGTGTATTGATAAGATTTTTTTTTTTTTTTTATCTACTTACAGAAAGAGAGTTGAAAATGTCATATCTGATTGTATCTTATATAGACAACTAACTTTATAAAATATTTGGTAGATTAACAAGAAGAAACCAATTGGTGCCCGTGTCCGGTTCATACCCGAACCCCACATTGTGTGTGTTCTCCGTGACTGGTCAGGTGGTGATGTACGCTTGACTTGGAGCCAGTTAGAGCAACTTGGTGATTATGATAACCCTGTGGCTCCAGGTGCTCTTGTAAAAGTTGTCCTGCTCTACTGCCGTTTGGTGGATCTCCATAGTGAGGATACTTTGATGTCACAGTTGACTGAACGGTAAATATTTTCTGGACATTCCCAGTGACTACAATGTGTTTATAGAAACCATTGTTTTAGTTCCATTTTGATTAATATTATGAGAGTAGAAGTGCCTTAACTTTATTCAAGTATGTCTTGGCAGATGTGACATCAAAAATGTTCTTTCAGAATTTTGAAGGGTTCAGTAAAGGCTGTCAGTTTTATTTTATGTTATTACCATGTTATTTTACTTGTTGATTTAGCTATGAGATTTATTAAATTTCTGTGCTAAAGTGTGACTATAGCTTACATAAGTTTTTTCCTTTTTCATTTTAATGGTAAGACATTCAAATTACTTGTACATCAGAGATAGTCCTAACTTGCTCATGTTATATCCCTTTTATAGTGAGTTTTAATGTGAAACCTTATTGGGTCCAGAACTGTGGACTTAATTCCTCCTTATACCCTTACATGTTAAGCTAGCCAAACTTAACCCATTCGTGCCGGGTGTCACGTATACGGGACATGCCCACTGTGAGTTTACTTGTTTGATTGTTTTTACTCATAGATGGCTACACTTGTACTTGTACTGCCTGTCTCTCCCGTTTACCCTTTTCTTTAATTTATGAAATTATTTTACGTTATCTTATTTTGCTGTTACTAATGTTCATAACATGATAGTAATTATAATGTTTATAATAAAAATAACCATCGATATTCATAGTACTAGTAAAAAATACATTTTCCTGCTAAATGAAATCAGGTAAGGTAGAGCCATCTAGTGTAGAGAAATTTCACAAAAAGTATAAAAAATGAGCGCAGCATTTTCCCCCATTTTTTGTTCATTTATACCCGGCACGAATGGGTTAAAAGCATTGCTATTTCATGTTCAAATGCTGATTAAGATGGAAAAAGTAGCATGGAAAATTGAAGCAAAGCAGGGATGTGAGATAAAGTACAAATAATTTACTTCATAAGCTTAAACAAGTACATGCACATGCCTACCCATATCCACACCCACCCAACCACATACACACACTCACTCTCACTCTCTCACACTCATTCTCATGCACATGCAAACGCACATGCATGCACCCCCCCCACACACACACACATGCGCATGCGCGCACATGCACATGCAAACACACACACACAAGTAATACAATCTTGCATCCATTAAAGCATAACATTGTATATGTATTTGTCTTTGATTTCAGACTCATTATAAGAAACAGCAAAAGTATAAGACGGAATTCTTTCTAGTTATAATGCAGGTGTGGAGGTTGAAGTGTGGTCACAGCTGCCTCAGGGATCAGGTCTGGGAGGAAGCAGTCTCCTTGCCGGAACTCTAGTATCAGCAATGGCTGTGCTGTTGGGCCATCCACCTCCATCCCACTCTCACCTCGTGCATGCAACCCTTACTATTGAGCAGAGACTAACCACAGGAGGAGGATGGCAAGATCAGGTAAGGTTGATTCAAATATATGAATTGATGATGTGTGCTTATGAATAGAGATATGCATGCTTAGTGGGAGCCTGTAAAATCTTTGTAATTTACTTGTATAATTGCTGGTTAGATCTGCATATAAATTAGTTTCACTGTATTAGTAATGTACACTTCCAAGACTGATTTGCAAGTTTTCTTTCAGGAGTTATCTTTAACATGGTCATGTATAGTAGAATTTTACATTTATTATTTTCAACAGGTGGGAGGATTAGTGGGTGGAGCTAAATTGGGAGTCAGTAATGTCGGGACACCAGTGACTGTAAATATGTACAAGATCCCTCTTCAGGCAGAGATGCTGGAATTCCTTAACAACCATCTACTACTTTTGTACACAGGCAAGGTAACATGACCACATCTGTCTTTCTTCTCTCCTTTGTCTCCTGTTCCATCTTTATTTATTTTCTGCAATATCTTGAATTGGCTTTGAAGAAGCTGTGATAAGTATGCTTTGACCTTGGTCCTTTTGATTTTAAGGTACTTTTTTTTCAAAGATTTTTTTTTACATGAAAAATATTAATAGATAAATAAACACTGTGAATAAAATTTACTTTTGTTATTGTATATAATTGTACATGTATGGTTGTTATATGTCTATGTGACACTGCCAGCATTTAATTTATGTCTGATGGTATAGGATTTAATGTACTCACCAGGAGATTTGTTTTTTTTTTTCTTTTTTTTCTTTGAAATGAGTAAACTTTTGGTATTAAGTCCTTTCCATTGAGCTCAAGTTTCTTTGTAATTACCCATTTACTTTTGTACATTTCCATTTTTTTTCATTTTAAGGCAAGATGAATACACAAGATATATTTTTGATCAGGAATCACAAATATTTTCCATTAAAAGGAATTTTACCTTGATGAAGATAAATTGGGTCAGTAGGTTGATCCTCTTATGTAGTTTGGCGTTTCTCTACGATACGAGGGGGAAGAAAACACTAATGAAAGCTAAAGTAGATTCATTGGAGATTAGGTCTGGCAAAAATAAAGTGGAACTCTTCATATTTCTTTGCCCCACATGCCAGGCTCTGAGTGTCGCTGCCAGATGTGTGACTAAGGAGACAAAATAAAATATTGTACTCTATAAATCGTACAGAGAATCTCACTCTTTCACATAGGTGATATAATATTCTATATTTCACATGGCATAACATATCACACAAAAGTCAGTTTATATAATATAATCACATAATTATCACAATATACGTGCGATAATACTTGCATTACAAACCACATGTAATGGCATCACATCATGGCACTCACAACGTAATGAATTATCACAACTCACTGTTATCCCACAGAGGTAGGATTATTTTTCTTAATGTTTCTAGTCTACATATAACCCTCATATTTTTTGTTTCAGAATACCATTCTACAAATATTTAATTTGAGGAAATTAGGTATATGTGGCATTTATTTCATGAAGAAACAAATTTTATGTGAAATTAGTGTATTAAATACAGAATTTATCTCAAAGTAAATATATAAAAGTCAAAATTTTATATGACATTGTGACCTTACCTGATATTTTTTTACTAATGCTCTGAATATAGATGGTGCTGTTTTTATTATAGACATTATAATTACTATGGTACAAGTGTAACAAAAACAATTAATAAAGTAAACTCAGAGTTGCCATTGTTGGATATGGGTTAAGAATGGCCTATTATATAGTAGTTATATTTATTTTTTTCTATATATCTAAATCTAAAATGTGCAGTACAGTATAGGAATTAAAAGAAATTTTGATTTGTATTGATTCACAGGTCCGGCTTGCTAGAAACTTACTGCAAACTGTCATTCGCAACTGGTATGCACGGGACTCGACTATCATTGAGTGCTTCTCCAAACTTCAACAGTTAGCCATCAGTGCAGCTGCAGCAGTGTTGGAAGGGGACAGAAAGGAATTAGGGCACTGTATTGATAAATACTGGAGCCTCAAGAAGATGGTTGCTTCTGGTTGTGAGCCTGGCAAGGTGAGCTTTATTGAATTAGAAGGAAGGAGAGAAGAGAAGAAAGGAAGGATTTGTGATGGATGAACAGAGAGACAGATAGATAGATAGATAGATAGATAGATAGATAGATAGATAGATAGATAGATAGATAGATAGATAGATAGATAGATAGATAGATAGATAGATAGAAAAGGAAAAGGAAAAGGAAAAAAGACAGACAGACACACAGTCAGACAGAGAAAGAGAGACAGGAAAGAAAAACAAATAACAATACAATAAACAGACATTTAATTAATGAATTTCAGGTAAAGAAACTGATGTCATCCCTGAGGAGCCACTGTCTAGGAATGTCTTTAGCTGGTGCTGGAGGAGGAGGCTACCTGTATGCCCTGAAGTCCCTCTCAGACCCCCTCCCAAGTGACGTGGTCCCGGGGGAGCTGAGCATTGACACAGTCGAGGTTGATCAGGAAGGGCTAGAGCTGTGGGTTGGCGGAGAACCTCTCCAGACCCCAGATAATGAAGAGATTCTAACTGCTGAAAAGTTGAGGAGTCTACAGTAAGAGATTCTGTGGATGTAAGTTCAAAGGAGATGTGAGTGTTGGTTTGACTCGTGTAAAGTCATTGGTGATACTAAGTATGAACATGGGTGAGTTTGTAAATGTATTTTTTTGTGAAAAAGATGTTATGTAATGTGATTTGAAAGAAATATAAAATCATTGGTGGTGCTAAATATCAAATAATAATGTGTGATGATTTTGTTAGTGCAATTTTTATGAAATGGTGTATAATTCTTTGCTTTACAGAATTTTATTGTAGTATATTTTGTGGCAACTTTTTATACTTGAATAATTGAAGAATTGAATACAATATGAATTATTGATACTATTTTTCTTAATTGTGACAAAGTATTTTTCCACAATTTTCCATGAAGGAAGAAGTACTTGCATTATAATATGTAAAGTAGATATTGTGTGGTACTGTGGTGGTTAATAAACTAAAGACTGAAAAAGTTATCCTAAGTGCATCTGTTCACCTTAGTCATATATAAATATATATATATTTTTTTCATTTGAACTAGTGTCTTTCAATTTGAGTGTGTATTGAATTTTGCTATTAGGATAATGATGGTTGTTAAATTGAGGCATTAATAAATTATTATAAACATTATATTGTTGTTTTTCTGAAGATTAGGCAACACTAGAAGACTGAAAGCATGGAAGTAAATAATACAAAAGTGAATATAAATATAATGTATAATGTATATTGTATAATGTATAATATATAATACATAATACATAATACATGATATATAATATATAATATATAATATATATATATATTATATATATATATATATATATATATATATATATATATATATATATATATATATATATATATATATATATATATATATATATATATATATATATACATATATATATATATATATATATATATATATATATATATATATATATATATATATATATATATATATATATATATATATATAATATATATATATATATATATATTGTATACATATATATATTTGTATACATATATATATATATATATGTATACATATATATATTGTATACATATATATATTGTATACATATATATATATATATATATATATATATATATATATATATATATATATATATATATATATATATATATATACACACACACACACACACACATACAGAGATACACATACGTAAATATACATATATATTTAAATAAACATATGCATACACACACACACACACACACACACACACACACACACACACACACACACACATATATATATACACAAATGAATTTTGTCTCTTCCAGAATGCAGCAGATCATACCAGGATAAGAGGGCTAGATAAACTGTCCATGCTTGACCTAATACTTACAAAGCATAAAGATGACTTAAGGATATGGAGTACTGCCCTCCTCTTGGAAAGAGTGATCATGTAGTAATTAAGTTGAAATACTGTGTGCTACAGGAAAAACTCATCGTGAGTAAGGAAAGAAAAGGAGGTCATTATAGAAGCCTTAAAGATTTCTTTGATGGCATAAACTGGGGAACCCTTCTGAAGGAAGAGAACCTTGATATTCAGTACGGAAAGTCCCCTACTTATGAACGTTCTACTTACGAACATTCCATACATACGAACAAATTTAAAAAAATGTTTAAGTCCAAAAAATTGTTTGAAAGATGCTAGTAAACTTCAAATTTTCTGGGCGCGAATATAGTTCACGACTCTGCCACGCCGTGGCGCTGCCGTGCTCACTCAGCTGTGCGCATCACTCGCCTCAGTCGCCTGCCCTCCTGCCATAAACATGAAAGCATCTGTTCACTGTGTCCTCATGTACCACCAATTTTTTGTGCCATAACTTGCTTTACCTGTGCATCAATCCATCAAAAATGTTGGGTGTGAAGAGGTTCACCAGCCAGTCACCACTACATTATATTTTCTTTTTGAATAAATTATGTTTCTACATTAAAGTTGTATGAATCTCCATCAAATAATATTAAAAGCATTACATATTACAGGTACTGTATAAGGTATGTCGTACTTATTGGGATTTATGTGCAGGTATTTTTAATGTAAACAAAACTTTAAAACAATGGGAAAAAAGGTAATGGAGACCTGACTTTGGATATACAAACAAATGGAGTTACGAACAGCCTCTCGGTCCCCATTATGTTCGTAAGATGGGGACTTTCTGTATTCTAAATTTTGCGAAGTCTATAAACAAGGAGTAGAAAAATTTGTATCAAGATTCAAAACTGAAGTAAGAAATGGCCAAAAGTGTTTCAACAATAAATGCAAGAAAGTGAGAGAAATTAAAGAACTCCTTTGGAGTAGGTTCAGAAGACATGGATTTCAGGCAGCGTATGAAAGGTACAGAGTAGGAAGAAATGAGTATACCCAAAACATGAGGGAGGCGAAATTAGACTTTGAAAAAGATATAATCAATAAATCGAACAGCCTCTCGGTCCCCATTATGTTCGTAAGATGGGGACTTTCTGTATTCTAAATTTTGCGGTCTGTAAACAAGGAGTAGAAAAATTTGTATCAAGATTCAAAACTGAAGTAAGAAATGGCCAAAAGTGTTTCAACAATAAATGCAAGAAAGTGAGAGAAATTAAAGAACTCCTTTGGAGTAGGTTCAGAAGACATGGATTTCAGGCAGCGTATGAAAGGTACAGAGTAGGAAGAAATGAGTATACCCAAAACATGAGGGAGGCAAAATTAGACTTTGAAAAAGATATAATCAATAAATGTACAAACCAACCAAAGCTCTTCTTTAACTTCATAAATTGTAAGACTAAAAGTAAGAGATCAAATTTGCATCATCAGTGACAATAACATCATTTCTAAGGAAGAGGAAATGTGTGAAATCCTTAATGAGAAATTTCAGTCAGTTTGTTCAGGACCCATATTTTGAAATGGCAAGTAATCGCACAAATGTAAATCAGAAATTTGAAAATATTACTCTTGAAAAGAATTAAATAAAAGACCTACTGAAAGGGTTAGACAAGACTGAAGCAGAGGGACCAGAAGAGATATATAACTGGGTTCTGAGGGAATGTGCTGAAGAATTATGCACTCCATTAATGTTAATGTTCCAAAATTCAGTGAGACAAGGAAAACTACCAAAATACTGGAAACTTGCCAATGTTACACCTTTATACAAGCATGGTGTCAAACAAAACCCTCTAAATTGTAGACCAGTTTCATCAACTAGTGTATTATGTAAGCTGTTAGAAATGATAATTAGGGAACAGTGGGTTGAAATACTTGAAAAACACGATATGATGTCAAAGAAACAATATGGTTTCAGGGAAGGAAGGTCATGCATAGAAAACATCCTCTATTTCTGATAGAGTTTTTGAAATACTACAAGAAAGAGACAGCTGGGTGTATTGTGTATACTTAGACTTTAAGAAGGCATTTGATAAGGTGTGTCATAAAAGACTATTATGGAAATTGAATCACCTTGGTGGAAACTCCTTGAATGGATGGAAGACTTTCTTTGTGAAATACAGATGAGAACTGTAATTAGAGGGATGCACTCTACATGGTGATGAGTAACTAGTGGAGTTACCTCAAGGATCGGTCTTGGTGCTGACTGTGTTTACTATTTTCATAAATGATTTAGGGTCAAACATAAGCCCAGCTAATATTTGAATATGTTTGCAGACAATGAGAAATTGCAAAAAAGGATAATAGACGTCTCACTTGTTTATTTGGAATTGTACATGAAAAATGGAATTTAACACCAATAATGCCATGTAGTCAGGTTCAGAGAAAGAAAAAATTGTCCACTCTACCAAAACAAGTTAGGAGAAAAAGACCTTGGAATAATCATAAACAGGAACCTAAGCCCAAATGATCATCTAAATGACAAGGTTCATAAAATGCTAGGGCTGATTGCCAACATGAAGAGGACATTCGTGTATGTGGAAGAAGACATGGTAAAGAAGGTCATTACAGCCATCATAAGACCTAGTCTTGAGTATGGTGCAGTGGTATGGAGTCCACACTTAAAAAAGGATATAGATAAACTAGATAGAGTTCAAAGAGCAGCCACAAGATGGGCACCTACTCTAAGACATGAGCTATGAAGAAAGGACAGAAAATAGGTTTTACTAGTTTGGAAGAAAGAAGAAAAAGTGGTGATATGATAATGATGTATAACTATATTACAGGAAAGGTGAAGTTAGACAAAAATTACTATAATTTTGAACACAAGAAGAACAAGACGACATAGCAAAAAACAAAGTAAAGGGAGACAAGAAAGAAGTTCAGTTGCAAACTCCTTGAATTCAAGTTCAGTTTCCCAAACAGAACTATTTAAACATAGAACAATCTTCCAAATAACATTGTGTGTGCCAAATATGTGTATCAATTTTAAAAGTTATATGATAATTTAAATGTAGCAGACGGGACCATCTGAGCATAGCTCTTCTCCCTTATTGAAACAACTAGGTAACACACACACACCAACACACACACACACACACACACACACACACACACACACACACACACACACACACACACACTCACTCACTCACTCACTCACTCACTCACTCACACACACACACACACACACACACACACACACACACACACACACACACACACACACACACACACACACACACACACACACACACACACGCTGTAAGGGGTATTAAAAGGGCCTCTAAACATTGGTGACCGGGTAGTAAAAGCTTAGTGGCTTAAATCTCTTTTATTCTATAGAGTTCAGCACACAGTGAATAAACACAAGGGATGACGTCTTGGGTATTGGGCGGTCGGCTGGAGGGTCGCCTGGCGACCCAGCCCGGGTCAGACGTGACCTCGACCGCACCAAGGCACACTCTGCCTTGACCGGTCAAAACGCGGCCTTAAGTATCCGAGACGCTGGCTTGGGGGGGGCGAGGAGAACCGCCCGTCCCTGTGGGCCACGTGGGCACCACGTGGCCACTGCAAGCCTCCACGTGGGCGCCACGCGGGTATAAAATACCGATATAATACACTATATTGCTCGGCCACCTACTCACGGCTCGTCCTCGAGACGATCTAGACTTCCTCAAGGGTGACCCAACCTGGCTGGTTCCAACTTGCTCGTCCTCGATCTCGGGTGCGGTATCCTTGGTGCATCTCCGTGGCTGCTCGTTCTGTGTCGTTATCCTCGCTCTGGTCCCTGGGAATCCGTTCGTCCTCGACATCCTCACGTCCTCGACTGGTCTCGCGCAGAACCTCGTCCAGACATCCTCGTAGTCCGCGTACAGGTCCAACTCGGCGGCTTATTCGCCCAATGCACGTCTCCAGATCTCCGTCCAGGTCCTTCTCGGCTGTGCGCTAGTACAGACGTCCTCGTAATCTTCGTCAGGATCTACGGGTGTCCCGGCAGGAAGCGTCCTCTTCGACATCGTAGGGCGGCTGATACCTGCACTAACGAGCTCCTGGAGTTTGACTGGGTCTGCGGCATCCAGGCAGGCCCGTCCACAGCATCATAGGATGGCGAACCTCTACTGGCGACCTCCTGCTTTCGCTGGATCTCGGGTGTCCTGGCGAGCGGCGATCTCCGATGACGTTTTCTAATGGCTTCCGAAGGTGACTGTTTCTGCAGCAGGGCCTCCTTCGGTGCCGTTTCAGATATCGGGAACCAGAATAACATATAATGGGCCAGATAGTGAGAGAAGGAAAAACGACAGAGAAGAGAAAGTGTTAAATGCTACAAGTCGATTTTTTGTTTCATAATTTGCAGTTTTTAAAGTTGAATTTTCGTTATTTTCGTCTTTTTTTTTTCATTTTGTGCTTTATGTTTATAAAGTTAAGTTAAAAGAGGAAAATAGGAGAGGGAGACGGCGATAGCGTCCGCAAGGATATGAACTACCAAACCGTCTCTAGATAGATACGAGAGTAAAGTCAGGGGAACAACAATTTGGCAACCCGCAAGGATTTTACTTGAACCATTTGTCACACCCGAAGGAAGAGTATAGTGATTGACAGGTGTCAATGAAAGTAAGAGTGACCTCCTATAGCCGTAGTGTTGCCAACACGCTGAATAAAGTTTATCTGACCATAATTATTTATAGACGTAATTCAAAATTATTTCAAGTACCACATTGAATTTAACATTTAATGATATGCGACAAAATGACGCATTAATGAATGGTGATGTGATAATTATTCGCAAGCCTTTTCGCTAGCAAATCTTCTCGGGAATTTTCCCGAGGAAGTAGGTGTCTTTACCGACCATGCAGACTTCACTTGACGGGGGGAGCCGTCCCCCAAAATTCTGTATTTTATGAAGCTTAAACGAGCTGGGAAAATCTATAAATTACCCACTCTATCTGCAGATCTATGATGGGCGCTCATGAAATGCCTTGCGGGGATTTATCATGAATCACGAACCGATGGGATTTTACCCAACATGATGGAGACATATAAAAGTGTGAGCGAGTTGTGATTAATTAAGTGGATCCTAAATTAGACTTAAATCCTAGTCCTAAATTAATGGACATAATTGCGGTCACCCTGGCTCAAAGTTTGCCGAACGTATGATCTACTTCAGTTACCTTAACCTACTCTCATACGTGAGTCATTACGCATAATTGCAACCTTTCAATGAGGATACCTCGGCGTTATATTTAGTTATACAAGTCACGTTACAAGTTCCGTTCTAGCGCCGATAAAATTTGTCACCATGAACAAGTAACGGTTGCTATGCATTAACCCTATATTGTGACCACTAGTTCAAACAATTAAAAGGGAATTGCAAGCTGTTTTCTTAGCCATATCACTTTGACAATCACCCAAGGTTATGAAGGGAACCTCTAAACATTGGTGACAGGACAGTAGTAAAAGCTTAGTGGCTTAAATCTCTTTTATTCTATAGAGTTCAGCACACAGTGAATAAACACAAGGGATGACGTCTTGGCCACTGCAAGCCTCCACGTGGGCACCACGCGGTTATATAATACCGTTATAATACACTATACACACACACACACACACACACACACACACACACACACACACACACACACACACACACACACACACCATGTTTATGTTTATGTGTGTGTGTGTTTCTGTGTGTGTGTGTGTCACTTAAGGGCAAAACGTTTTCCCGATTGATAGATTAAGAACATGGAACCATCGACTAATAACTGTCTATCCTGAATATTATGTAGTATTTGAAAATGTACTCGCCCCAAATAAGGAACTCAAGTGGTAACATAATGAAGGTAGAATAATACTACAGGCAAAGTAAACTTATTTTCGGAAGTCTTTTTGTGTTGTACTTCATTTGTTCATGCCAACGTGGAATTCATTAATGCCGCATTTCCTCTAGAAACAATAAAGGAAATGCCTCATTATGTTTCGAGTAAAGAAAATACAACACGAAGAGCAACTGGCAGAAAAAAAGTGTTTGCTTCACAAGTAGAGAAAAAAGTATTTCAAACTTATTTAAAGCTCAGAATCAGATGTAACAGAATGCAAGTACAGGGCTAGAGGCAGCGCCGGGATCCAAGTACTTGCTCAGCTGCTTTCATAATGAGGACATCGATGCATTTATCTTGTGTTAATACTTCAAATGTAAGCCTGCAGCCCGAATGTGCGTCCATCATCGCCAAGATCCATTCCAACAACTACGGCAAGAGTGACATCGTCTGCAGAATTACTAACAAAGCTGTTCACTTCTGGTTGTATGCACGTGC